GAGAGGGTTTAAACCAGAGAGGGTTTAAACCAGAGAGGGTTTGGGTTTAAACCAGAGAGGGTTTGGGTTTAAACCAGAAAGAGTTTGGGTTTAAACCAGAGAGGGTTTAAACCAGAGAGGGTTAAAACCAGAGAGGGTTAAAACCAGAGAGGGTTTGGGTTTAAACCAGAGAGGGTTTAAACCAGAGAGGGTTTGGGTTTAAGCCAGAGAGGGTTTAAACCAGAGAGGGTTTGGGTTTAAACCAGAGAGGGTTTAAACCAGAAAGAGTTTGGGTTTAAACCAGAGAGGGTTTAAACCAGAGAGGGTTAAAACCAGAGAGGGTTAAAACCAGAAAGGGTTTGGGTTTAAACCAGAAAGGGTTTGGGTTTAAACCAGAGAGGGTTTAAACCAGAGAGGGTTTGGTTTAAACCAGAGAGGGTTTAAACCAGAGAGGGTTTAAACCAGAGAGCGGCGGTAACTAGTTACATCTACTCAGTTACATTTACTTGAGTAACTTTTTGAGAAAAATTGAGTGCTTTTGCTATACTTCTTACTTTTACTTGAATAATTTAATTATGAAGTATTTCCACACTTGAATGAAATTTCTGGGTTTTCTATCCACTGACTGAAAAACAAAAATGTTTTAACAAATCTTCACACACCTGCAGTTTTTGTTAAAGTTTCATAAATATTTTATTGACAGAAACTGATTTGGAAAATTTTTCTCATTTTTCTTACTTGCATAAACTATTTTCATTCTTAAAATTTAAAAATTTGCACTTAGCTCTATATTTTATTACATCTGAAGTAATTTTATAATTTGATCAGTTACTCAGTACTTGCGTAGACTCTTTACCAAATACTTTTGTACTCTTACTGTAGTAACTTCTTGGCTGCGTTTTACTTGATTAAAGACATGTCGAAGTGTTGCTGCTCCTGCTTCAGTAAAATGTTTGGCTCTCCTCTGGTTTGGACCAACCAACGTGCTGCTGTGGCCGGCCTCGTTTCTGACGCTGCTGAATGCTCGTGAACACACGAGGTCATTGTAGCTCCATGTGACCTTTGTTTACCGACTCTGGCTTGTTTGCAGAGTGGTCGTCATAAACTGACATAAACTCCATATTTGGTTTCATGTCTGCTCCACTTCGCTGCTGTGGGTCCAGGTTTCTGCCTGATGTTCGCCTTTGCTTCTGCTTTATATCAAAATGAATTCATGCTTCTCTGAAATGTGTGGCTCAGGACCAGTAACACAGTTTTGCTATTTTAGGTTTAATATTGGAGTTCATATGCAGGAATGTTGTCAGATGGAATCTGAAAATAGCAGCACTAAATGGTTTATTATTGCAGCATCTGTCGTTTATCATCTCTTTCTGCTGGAGATGCACCGACCTGAATCAAGCCCGATCCGCAAGGGTAGATCTATTCAGCCTAGTTCTATGCTTTGACTTCCTGAACATTTGAAAGGTTTGTAGCAGTTTATTTTAGGTAGTCAACCTATTGTTTTGTCAGTTTTCGTTTCTTTATTGTTGATTTTACATTAGCTGCTATTCTCCTAATTGCTCTGTCTCCAGTCGGTTGCTGCAGCTGGTCGTTAATACTGAGCCCGGTTCTGGTTCTGCTGGAAGCTTTTCCTCTCCACTGTGGCCACATCCATGCTCAGTATGAGGGATTGCTGTAAAGTTGGTTGTCTTCTGTCTCTGAATGCTACAGGTCACTTACTGTGTTTCCATTGAACTAAAAGTTGAGCAAATTGGAATTACAAAAATAAATTTGCTTAATGGAAACACATTGATTTTGAAAAAATTCCCGTTTTTCAAAAAAAAGATTTTGAGGTGTTTTTTTTTTGTGGCATCAAAAGAAGTATTTCACAAAAATGCAGGTTTTTTCATCATTAGCGGAATATTGACAAAGTTTTGGACACATTTATAAGGATAATGACTCGGTACAGTCCGCTGGGTTTCCTCTCATAGAAAACTTTTTAATCTATTGAGAATAATGAACTGAACTTTATGATAACTGGATCAGTTGGATTGATTGTATTTGTTACTGAGCTGAAACAGTTTTTTTCTGCAAGGCATTTGTTGTAAATTGGCTCTATATTATAAACTGAATTAAACTGAATCACATTACCAGACTGCAATAAAACATATAAAACATTTTAAATGACAGGTTTCATAGAAACTGGCTGATGTTTAAGAAACGGTGCAGTCAAAGTTTTCCATATGGCAAGAAAGAAATATTCATAACAGCCTCCAGTCATATTTAATATTTATGTTCTTAGCAAGATGTTTATTATGGACATTGAATAAACATTTTATTGGTATTTTAATAGTATATTAATACTAATCAGATTGAGTTTTTCAGCTGGGAGGTCTGGATGTGTTCCTGCTCCATAATCCCTCTCTAGTCAGGTTTTATTTTTTTATTTTGCCTGTTTTTATAGAGATTTTCTCATTTTTATCAAAGATCACATTTTTGATCAAACAAAAAGTACAAACATAGAAACAAAACAAACAATTAAAAACTACTCAAGTTAATAAAATATGACTTAAAAATCTGTAAGAACTTAAACATAAAGCAGATAAAAGTGATATGATTGAGTTTCTGACATGTATTAGATGTAACTGTAGTAATGAGTTACTTTCAGAAACACTGAGATTTCCCAGCAGATCCTTTTATATTTAGCATCAGTTTTATATTATAGTAAAGTAACAGCAGTAAAACTCTCCCCTGTGGCTGAAACCAAACGGCAGCAGCCTTAAGGAAAGCCTTTCTGTGATCTCCTACCTTCAAACCAAGCACTTAAACGCATCGCCATGATTCCTTTAAGTTGCAGCCAAGCTTATCTCCACAGGGTTTAAACCTGCAGCTCTCTTCTGCAATATCCAGTCAGGCGGCTGACGCCCAAAAGAAGGATTTTTATTTTAGATATTGTTATAGAAAGTTTAATTTTTAGATATCATGGCCGCTGCATCAGATCTCTGAAGGAGAGTCTTCGGCTTTCTTGAGGAGACGGGATAAAGGTTTTCTTATCCACATCGCCTCTCATTGGTTTTCCAGAGATATTACACCGTCCGGGTGAACGGCCAAGAAATATCTGGGGTAAAGTTAAGAGCCGGCGGTCCGTCCATCACAAGCGAAGCCTTATCAGTCCCTGGCCTGTTCCAGCTGCAGATTGGCTTCAGTTCTGTCCAGTCAGACGTTCGTTCAGTCCGTCTTCATCTGGATTCCAGGGAGAAGCTTGCTTTGAAGTCGGATGGTATTTTTCTGTCATGAAACCTCAGAGGAGGCTCTGTGAACTGTAAAAACGCCTTGCACAATAACCGTGGACTGTTTGTCATCTCTGTTCCCGGCAGCACGTCACGCCGGCCTTTGTTATGCGGACGTGAGTTGAGTCTAAACGCTCAGCAGTGTCACATTTCCTTTATTCGGCCAGAAAGTCGAGGTTGAAGTCTGATTGGTGGTTTTTCAGGGCCGTACGCGCTGCAGTTGTTGCTATTTAGTCAACAACTCAGAAAGTCGAGGCTGCAGAGCAGCCAGTCCTGAATAATAAGTTCAGGAGGCTGATGCAATGAGACGGATATACATCCAGGAGCCCTCTACTGATTATGTGAAAAGGTTTGGAGGTAATTATTAAAAAATGCTGTTAGATGTCACTCATCGGTCTGTAGATTGTTTTAGTTTGACTCGCAGTGGAGTCCCCGGATTACCTGGGAGCGGATCTAAAATATTTGAAATGAAATGCAGGATGATGAAATACCTGAATGCACAAACAGCCTTCCCACTCAAAGGCATCACAGACTGGAGCACCAAGTCTGAAACTTTCTCCCTCAACGACTGTTAGAAAACCAGCATCTAATAAAAACTGTCATGACTACAGAGCAGAAGTTTGGCTTTTTATAATTTTATGATTGTATAGGGTATGTATGGACTTTCAATGATTGTTTGTGATATTAGACTGTTTCTTTAACTCACCTGCTCAAGGACTGCAGATGGAAACGGGCTCAAGCCAAATCTGGTGCAAAGAATATTTCATTTATGGGCTTTTGCACATTTTCCGTGTTTTAAATAAAATGATACACAAAACTAAGCCATACTATTTGACATGCTGTTGGCTGCTGTTTATTTCACGACATAATCTGAAATAATCTGCCTGAACAAGAACTTTTTCTTCAAACTATTTACTTAAAAAAGCTATTATTTGCTGAAAAGTTACCTCTAAGTTTGTCTAATTTCAAGTGTAATAAAATATTTGTAATAGAAAGTAGATAAAAAAACATGGTAAGAGTTTGTGTTTTTGCAGTGCATATATACTAGACATGCCGTTTTAAAAATAAAATGTAAATAAAATGATTATTCCTACTCTTTATGTAGATTTCAATTTAAGCTCAATATGAAATCTAAGGGTTAAGAAGAGTTTAAGGCTTAAACGTGGTTTTTAAGCAAGTATTAAAACTTTCGTTCTGTTTGCAGATTTTGGACCAGCAGCTGTTTGAATCTTCGTTTTGTGTTTTTTTTTTTTCTTGGTGCAGAACCGGAGCTGGGCGTCGCCGGGTCGCTGGACTCACTGACGCAGCAGGTGAACCAGACGGTCCACCGCCGGCAGCGCCGCAACGCCGCAGAAAACGACTACAACATCGAAATCCTGCTGGGAGTCGACGACTCGGTGGTTCGCTTTCATGGCAAGGAGCATGTGCAGAATTACCTCCTGACTCTGATGAACATCGTAAGTCTTTTTTATTTCACATAAATGTAATTCACCATTTGTGGTCAGAAGAAATGTGAACGAAAGATGTTATGATAACAGAAATACTTTGGAAGTCGTCGTTTTCTAAAAGCTAAATTTAGTACCAATCATGGAAGTTGGATTGTTTTTTTGGACTGTAATAAAAGTTTCTATCAGGCAGCTTCAAAGGCCCAGGATTAAATGCGAACGCTGCATCTATTGGAAGAAAACGCAGCTATGGGCCTTCCTGGCCTGAAGGAGCACGGTCCTGCTGCTCAGCTTAAACCTCTAATCTGTCTAAATTCCCAACCTGTTTCACAGGATGGAAGGAAATAAAACACAAAGTTATTAAAAAATGCCCCTCATGGCAATACTGACAGACATTAAACTGCAGAAGAGCACAACGCTTACCTTATGCTTATTTTCATTGTCGAGTCCTTGCTACATTCATAAAATGAATGTAAAGTGTGTGAGCTCTAATGTTGAGGTGCCTAATACAGGAATGAGGGTTAAAAGATGGATTAACAACCTAAATGCAGACTTTGAAAAGATGGATTTAGGCTTTTTAAGTTTAAACCGCAGAAAAACTTTTTCTAATTTACATGAAGGAAGTAAACATGACAGCAGAGAAAGTTTAAAGAAAAATGAATAAATTAACAGAGTTCAGAGTTCAGATGGAGGAAAATGTTTAGGTACTTTATCACTTCAATGCAACATGAAGGGAATGGAGATGCATGTTGGAAAATATATTCAGCAATTCATAGGAACATCTTGTAGATCCTCAAAGCCTTTTCACACTGGTGTGGGTCACAGCAGGAGGTCATGACCTTTATCTGCATTTAGTTTAGGTTGTGGAGCAGGACATTGATCCAAAGAACCCCAGTGAGCCCTTTGTTTTTTGTTATTTTTTTGGATTACTTCCAATGGGTTTTGCTGTGGCCTAGTCAAAGTATGGACTTGAATTCAGTTGAGATGCAGCGAGATGACCTGGGTCACCCGCCAATGAGGCTGAATCGAGACAAACAGTCCCACCCTGCGAAGGTTAGCTCACCAGTTTAACAGACGCGATTCAGTTGTTACGTTTTTCAGCCCTGACCCAAACCTATCACGACATAAGCATTTCAGATCAGTCAATACCAATAATTATTGATTAGTTTTTTGTTTTGAACATCTGAATTGCTGGTCGTGAGGCTTTTCCTGTTCTACCCACAGTTTCCTCTTCACACCGTTTATTTCTAAGCAGTTACAAAGCAGAGTGGAGAAACATGAAACTGCTGCTGCGCAAGATACTCAACTGTTGCAACAAGGCTGTTGCTAGGTAACCAGATATTGAGTGAGTTGCTAGGTAACCAGATATTGAGTGAGTTGCTAGGTTACCAAAGAGTGAGTGAGTTAGTTGATGTCGCCAAACTTGATTAGACTGAAGCCTTTCCTCTGCCTACATTTCCCATAATGCTGTGCGGTTCTGGATCGGAGTTCAGTGAATATTCTATTGAATATCCTCAGATGTGTTATCTATTCATATTGATCACTTGTCTATTGCGATATATATTGTGATTGATTTATTATCCAGCACCTTGTGTGGGTAATTTTATTTTCCATCATAAAGTAAAATATACATAAAATCATAATTTCAAAACTAACTTCTGTATTTACTCTGGTTATCTTTCATGTTAAAGTTGAGCTGTCTGGGACATCTGGGTGTAACAAAATCAAACCTTTTCTTATCAAACATAAAGTTTTAGCTGGTAGTCTGTTCACGCCAGCTGAGCTTTGAATATCTGTGTGTTGAGTAGCTTGGTTATGTGTGCAGTTTAAAGGCAGTACAGTGATGCATGCAGGGCTAGGCAGGCTGCAATCCTGAGTGTCACTGGGTGACGCTTCAGACGCTGAGGCACTTTGAGCAGCATCACTGTCAGACGCAGCATCAGGCCTGACACACGTCAGCCTCCGCGCTCACGATGCCGCCTGAGTTCTTCTCCAGAGTTCACCACCTCCGTGTTTTCACTAAGCTTCCTCATCTAAGAGCTTAACTTCTTTTTACTTTACAGTCATTATGCATCTAAGCTGAAAGGAGCAGTGACACTTTGTCTAGATCATGGGTTCTCAACCTGCAGCTCCGGAGCCACATGTGGCCCTTAAGGCCGTCCACTGTGGCTCTTAATAACTTTATCCAAAAATGCTAAAGACTTGAGCATTGATCTGAAGCAGGGTGTGAAGCTCACTTTCATTTGGGCCACATCAACATCATGGATGTTATGAATAGGCCGGTTGTTCCAGAAAGTATCGATAAAACCCATAAAAAAAACTAAATAAATAACCAGCTGTCTCTGCTTTCAGAAAATTCTTCTTAAAATTAAATATTGAACATCTTTTAACACTGATCAGTCCCTCCAGAGACTGTTTTCTGGATTTTACATTAATCACAGTCACTGATTTTGTGAAGCTAACTTAGAAATATTTGCAGTTTCAAGATATTTGCTCTTATATAAAACTGTAAATGTGACTTTTTTTGCTGACCACATCATTCACAGATGGAAAGTCAGACATAAAACAATCCAAACCGATTTAAAACTAACAGTAAAATCAAACTTAAGGCAAACACAAAGTTAACCTGCAAATATAAAGAAAGTTATTTAGTGCCTTAAAACAAACTTCAGTGCATAAAGAAAAAAAACTGCATGGAAGTTACTGTTATTATGTGAAGTGTCAGAGTTCACATAATTCTCTGAAACATTTTTTTCACATTAGAAGTTCAAGCTCTAACTTTTCATCAACTCTTTATTACTTTTCCAACTCTGGGGTCCCTAAAATGAGAGATGATTATTGATGTCATGTTTTTAATGTCACTGCATTGCCGTCTCTATTTAAAGCGCTCCTTGTTAGGACTCCTGCTGTGGGTGGCTTTGAAATCGTCTGACTAATCACTTCTGGGACAAACTTATTAATACGATTACAGTCAGTTTTATAACAGAAAAATGTCAAAGCTGTAAAGATTTTACTTTTTCTGGATTTTGCACTGATGCATCTTTTAATCTAAAGTTTTTATTACCTGTTTACACGACGACAGACCTTAAACCTGATTGGCTGGTTTGTCCCCAGATAAAATGCATGCATGCAAATATAATTTAAACAAACATGATGCTGTGAGACGAAAGCGATTTAGATTCATCCTTACAGTTTAAAACGTTGAAAACGTTCAGCTTTTGTTGCTGTTGCAGAAAAGTTGCTCACATAACGTGTTGATGTGAACAAGGTGGCTTTCAGGTCAGAATCATTCCAATAATCTGCTTCATGTACCATTAATGCGTTAATGTAATAACATGAATGATGCCTCTGGTTGAGGATCACCTGGACGTTTTGGTTACTTGAAACATCCTTTTCTAATGTGAACCTGATTTAGCCAGAATAACAAACCTTGATGACGTGTTGTGATCCGGGAAGCTGCAGTTATGATGACGCTACTGAGGCCTGGCAGCAGAAAACTCAGGGCAGCTGCTTGAATCCACAAGGAGGAAGTAATATGAGCACACGAAGAGGTCAAACACAAAAACCATGAGAGCAGATTCTGGATTTCCACCAGCAAATACAGTAGATAATCTGACAGGGAGGTCGAGATGGAGAGAGCGTGGAAGTAGGGAGAGGTAATTAGGCCTGGCACAGGTGGGCTGAATAAAACTGATTAGGTGAATTGAATGGGCACCTGAAAACATGAAAGAGGTTCAGGCATGGCAGAAACATTAATTATTACACATTTCCGATCTTTGTTTTATGAGTGACTGACTCAGTGTGAGTTTCCAGCCGTTGTTTTATCTGATAAAAGAAGATGGTTTTCGTTCAGTGGGCGTCTTGGCTGCTTCACTGACTAATGCTCTCATTATCCGGCCAGTCGGTTTGGGTTTGCATCTGTGTCATCCACCCTCCATTATCAGATGACGGATTGAAACGCTCTGAGGCTACGGATGTTATTTCAGAACCCAAACGAAGCTTCCCACATCTTTCTCTCTGACATGCTGCTGTGGCTCATGATGTTTGTTATCCTTGTTGTTTATTCAAGAAATTAATTACACAGGCTTTCATTCATTAAAATTTTTAACAAATTTAATCCCCCCCCCCTTTTTTTTTCTGACCGGAACCTTTGTATTTTTTTCTGTTTCTGGTACAGCCGTAAATATGATGCACAATCAACATCCACAAACAACAACGATGGTCAACTAAGCTGTTTCTCTTGGCCCACCAGTGGTTAATTTTTGCTTCAAAAACGATCTGATTGGATGCTGGGAAAGACTGTTGTGTTCAGGTTGTGCTAAAAGTAGTTAGCATATTAGCAAAGCTATTCAAGGCTAAAATCTCAATGCTAAACATGTAGCAGCAGCACAGCTGCTAAAGCTAATGTCAGCGTACACAGTCGACATTTTTAAAGAAGTTTCATGAATAATCAGGAGTTTCTGAAATATTTTGCTCCAATCTGATGGTTGAATAAACTAAATAACAGGAAGTCCTTCTGCTTCCCATACGCAGGATCGGTTTACATGTATTATAAACAGTTTTCTGGGTCGATCCCTCACAGCATCTCTTAGCAGAGTCACAGTCTATTGCAGAGGTTGGGCTGAGCAGCAGTGGTTTGGATGACCTGTACAAATACAACAAAACAACATTTTCTAACACTACGTTCACTGATAAAATAAGCATTATATTCATCCTCAGAGCCAACCTGAGGAACATGTTGAGAATAATGAGTCCTTGAGAGCTGCTGCCGTGCAACTTTTCAAAAACACCTGAAAGAAATGAGAGGCTCTTTATCAGGTTCCTCCAGACGCTGATATCAAGCTGAGGAAATAATTTAGCCATTTGATTCAGGAGTGTTGTTGTTGGAGGCTGCTGCACCACAACTTTCAGACTACGACTCTGCCGACTGAGGCTTCTGAAGGGTTTGACTTTTAAAACCCTTTCCTCTGACATGTCAATCCATTTTTCACCAATTTATTTTACCTTAGACG